AGTAACTATATCGGCTACTTTGCTCATGAACCCATCAAGAAAAGTCAGCAAATCCCACCCTAGGAGGAGCAACTTGCAAAGCAACTGCGTACTTAGAAGTAGGAAAGAACCTAAACGAACCTTGTTACTCAAGTAATTTGCATATCACCAAAATATTCCTGCATGCAGTTATACCCATAGAGAAAACTAACGATGGTTCACGGTTGGAATTGTAAAAAGACTTAGAGGACATTCTTTCCTCTTGGGCTCCTTTGTTCTTGCTTCCTAAACACTGAATTATTTGCCTCTCACCAATTCTATTTTCCTGACAGAAGATTATTTGAAGTTATGGTGTGTTATCATCCAGCACAAAAGTTCCTATTTCTGATATGGTCTAGTCTCCTTCGGTTCAGTAATGCTGAATTCTCAATAACTTTTGACAGTATTTTTATTTTCATTGTCTACACACACCTCATTACTCTCCAACTAAAGTTAAAGTAATACAGCAATGGGAAATGGTGTGGTGCCTTTTGAGTTGTTTGAAATAAAGCAAATGTGACTCACAATTCAAGATAATAACTTCCAAAAGAAAAATACAAATAGGATCACAATCCTCTATAGATTTATGCAGGTGTGTGTGAGTCTGCATTCACAAGTATTCCCATTCACTTCTGTGAAAATAATTATGGGCATAAATCTAGATTATCATTTTCATGTGCTCAAAATAAGCCTGTCATAGCCATCCATGGAGGATACAGACTATGAATTTCAAACTGCTTAAAATGAGAATTTGTCCTTAATAGGTTTAATCCCCTTTGAAATATATAGAATGAAGCCAGTTGAAGTGATTCGTAGTTTGTAGCTGCAGTGATTTGTAGTTTGTAGCCATAAATAAGTAAAGACGACAGCTGCCACCCTAGCCCAAATGTTAAGCATTCTAGCATTAAATAGAAAGCTGTTTAGGTACATGCATTACTAAAGTCCATCACCATCACAATAAATTGAACTGAAATTAAGAACCAGTTCACACAATAAGCCTTGCAGACTGAAGAGTCATCATCACCATGACTCCACGCACAGTAGATAAAATTTGTTAATTGTGAATACATGAGGACAGGCCTTGAAAAATAACCAGCCCGATTTCATAGCAAGGCAGATCTGCCAGTTCTTCTAATTTAAAATATATACAGAAAGGACTATTTGCAAAACGTGATATATGAACAGCTTCCAAAAACTGCAACTGCTTAAGATGTACATAATTCCACAACTTCTAGCACCATAGGTCACTGAAATTTGGTTCATAGCTCTCTTGGTTCTCTTTGACCCTGGAGAATCAAATTGTTTGGGTGATTTCATACCTGGGTTGGAAGAATCCCATGCCTGTCGTGACCCTAAGCAGTTGTGGCACTGAGAAGCTTTTGCGGCCACTCAGGAAATGAAGGGGACTGGCAAGTAGCTTCAGCATACAGATTAATGCTGCAGCAATGCTGGGAAGGGGGCAGGATTGATGTGAGGGCTATTTAACCCCTGCCCTCCTGTTCAGCAGACCGCTCACCCTGCCACCCAACAGGCAGTGCTTGCTTTTGCTGGTCACCTTTTGTAGAACCAAGCAGGATTTTCTTTGCTCATCAGCTGATTGGCTGAGCTGGTGGGCTTCTCTTCATCTACTCTGTACTGATGTGGTGGGTGTACTTAGTGGCGGGCAGGGGGAGTCATTAAATAAGTTAATTGGCCACACTGGCAGGTAGATGCAGGAAATTATGATGTAGTTAAGGTTTGGTGAGAACTCTTAGGCACTATTACAGAGGAAGGCTGTGGTCTCAAGGACCACATTCAGAGCTGTGGGACCTACTGCCATGGTTATGGAGCACATTTGTGTAAACCTGTAATCCATGCTTGGAGTTGAGGGACCTCACCTGAAAGGGGGGAGGCAATAGAGGAAGAACTACCCTTGGGCCTAGGCAAGGTTTTGTTATTAGTTAAACCCCACATCTTGGTTTCTCTGCCTACATCTATTTTCAGTTTAATATATGAGCAAACATAGCCCAGTTCATTTAAACTTTTTGAGTCTTGCCTCTTTGGTTGTGACACACAGGGAACTAAAATATTATGGTAATTTCTTTTGGGAAAGGAAGAATGCAGTTGCCAGTTGCCTTCACTTTTGGGGTGAGTAGAAGGGAAAGATAAACAATACTGAACTGTATACAACAGGTTTCATAGCTTTCATCTCATTTACTTGGAAGTCCAGTTAAATTTAATAGAAGCTTTTAAAGCTGTGTGCCAATTATGTGCGGCAGACAGTCAGAGTATTGGACACATCCATTCTGTAGAGGTTCCAGAATCCCTCTTGGGCCCATTGTATTTCAATTTAACAGTGTCATAAATTTTAATCTCCAGCTTGTCTTTTTAAAGCAAGATGTTTTTCCAGATTCCTCTATAGCATCCCATTTAAGTCTGTCTAAAACAGTTTGACATTGTAAATATAATGTAATTATCAATTCTTACCCTAAATATTTGTACAGTGGTACCTCAGGTTAAGTACTTAATTCGTTCCGGAGGTCCAAACTTAACCTGAAACTGTTCTTAACCTGAAGCACCACTTTAGCTAATGGGGCCTCCTGCTGCCGCCGCGCCGCCAGAGCATGATTTCTGTTCTCATCCTGAAGCAAAGTTCTTAACCCGAGGTAATATTTCTGGGTTAGCGGAGTTTGTAACCTGAAGCGTATGTAACCTGAAGCGTATGTAACCCAAGGTACCACTGTAATTTTTGTATCTCTCTTTATAAAATCGAATAAAACTTTTTTTTAAAAAAAAGAAACAAGTCCATTAAATTAGGCTAGCTGCTTTATTTTCGTATAACCTGTGTGATATATTACAGCTATTCTCATTTTGCGTATAAAAGGAGGCACAGAAGCCTTACTCAAAGCCAGTGTGTAAGAAGTTGCTTGAACAGACTCCATCCTATTATGCTAAATTGCACTTTAATAAAAAAAAAAGTCTCATATAATGGTTAAACTCTAATCCTTAAGAGTATCTACTGTCTCTTTTCAGAATCAGTTCAGAAAAATTGGAATCAGTTCAAGAAAAAAAAGAGACAAAGAAGAGGTGACTAGTGCATATTAACTCAGACCATAGCATTCCAGGAGAAATACGCATAGCTAAATGAAAAACAGGCTTCTATTACATCACATTCATTGTTTTGTTCGCAGCCTTAGCTTCATTTTGATCTCTTGTTGAATGTACACTGTAATTAATGAAATGTTTCTGCTTTGAACTATGATAAGAGGGGGCCTTTTTCATATCAGTTTAATTTTCGCGTCCATGTTGATCCTGCTTATATCATTCCCAAGCCAGGTACACAACATGAATATTTGTAAGTTAGATTTGACTATGGTTGTCTTGCTCTTGTTGACACTCCAGCACTGTAAAGCACAGCTAAATGTGATATGAATTAGTAAACACTGAATTTCTGCAACAACCAAAAAGCACTAAAGTATTGCAAATTTCACACATATAAAAAAAGAGTATAATGTAACCTATATCTGTCTATCACTCATACGTATACAAAGAAAAAGTAAATGAAGGCACTCTATAAATAAACATTGTAACCAGTCCCATTATGCATTCTTACACCATTCTGCTTTAGTCATAGTGATATGGATTACCAAACTATTCACACAACTTTAACTTACTGCATTGCTGCAATATCAGTCTTTATGTTTTCGTGCATTCCGCAGCTACTTTTGTTTCTTGGATCCCTTTAAATACAGTATTTTCATCTGAAAAAAATATTGCTGATCTGATGCTAGTCTACCCAATGATGCAGTCCTATAACCAAGTTGTTGAATTTAATGTGCACTGACTGTTTCTGTTGTACCTATGTATTTTACCAGTTTTCCTTCTGCCAAAAACCTCAGCGGTAATAAATAAAGCAGGCATGCAATCCACAGACTTGTGCAGCTGTTTGACATTTAGTCTTTAACACCCTTTTGAGACATTGCCTGCTTTGAGAGAACACACTGCAGTGGGATGAGACTGTGGCAGCAGAACCCACACCCGACCTATATTCATTTGAAGTTCGTAGTACAGCCTCTTGGAATACAACTGAAAATGCAAGGTGAAGGGAAGCCTAACACAAGTACAGCTGCATGATGATGGCTTCTCCCACTATTCAAATGAGCATGAGTAGGTTTGGCCAGAGACAATGTGTGCAATCCCATTCCATTCCCCTGAACCCCATTATACATGTTTATTCACCAGAGACACCATAAGTTAGGGTTGCCATATGTCTGGAATTTCCCAGGCATACCCGGAATACTGCAGTCGGAAGAAGCGTCCAGGCATAAATCAGCAAAAATGTATGGGAAAATCTGGAAATCCGTACATATGGCAATCCATGTCGGCAATGTCGTTTTTGATAATTTTCCTTTAAAACAGCTCAAAATCACCAATTTCTTGCGATTTTGCCAAAATAGATCAACAACTTTTGTATCCTGATTTTCACTTTTTGAAATATGGCAACCCTACCATAAGTGGAAAAGGACATTATCAAAGATCCTAAGGCAGGCATAGGCAAACTCCGGCCCTCCAGATGTTTTGAGACTACAATTCCCATCATCCCTGACCACTGGTCCTGTTACCTACGGATGATAGGAATTGTAGTTCCAAAACATCTGGAGGGCCAGAGTTTGCCTATGCCTGTCCTAAGGCATTGCACAAACTGATCTCGAAGACATATATAGCAAATGCAATCTAGTCAAAGAATAACTTTTACACCACATACAATGGGATCTAAATTTGGGCTAGATCAGATTCATAGTGAAAACTATATGGTATTTATAAATACAAAGACCTGCGTTCCACTAGGACTATGCTACTGAAAACAATAATGTGAGTTCTAATATCAGGAGCATCCATTTCTGTTGTCCATTATGCATTTTAATAAAACGTGTGGCTAAAAATGAGGAACACCATACATTAAACATGCATTTAAAAAACTGGCAAAATAATTAACCTCTTACCAGGAATGGACTCCAGCAAATGCAAGAGACACACATTATAGCCAAGAGCTGAATGATCATTTCAAAATGGTGAGATCTGCCTTGTCTATGTTGACTTTTAAATTTGACTCTTAGAAGTGTAATCCCCGTGACAGCATTGCACAAAAATGAAATACCAAGGGCCAGTAAACCCAAGCATGAAAAAAGTAAGAGGTAAAATCTGTCTTCCCAGTCTTCAATGTGCTCAGTTTTATAGAAACACCAGGTCCTTGACGCCTGGATTTGATAAGGTCTTAGCTGAAGTATAGGCAGTAAAGCTATGAAAATGGCAAAGAGACATACCATAGTCAACATAATCTTTACATGTTTAGAAGTCATTTTTGTTGAATGAAATATCGGCTTGGTGACTCCAATGCAGCGTTCAACAGCCATCACACTGCCCAGAAAAAGGGGACACAGTCCAAAGAACACCATGCAGATGCCAAAAATGCTGCAGAGAACATTTGACTGGTTAAATCGAATCCAGTCTTTGTCAGAGGCATATACAAATACTGCAATGGTTCCGTTGATGAGGTGGCCCAAAAGGTCTGTGATAACCAAGCCACTAGCAAAAAGCAAAAAAGATGCTTTTGATTTCTGTCTGAACCTCTGGTACGCCTTCATGAGAATTGCTATTGCAAGGCTGTTGGATAAAATCCCCACTGTCATGAAGATGACGGAAAAAAACACAGAGATCTTCTTTTCCGTGGGACAGGTAGTATTGGAGAATACACCAGTTCCAAGCAACGCTGATGGTTTTGAACTGTTCATTGTTAGAAAGGCAAACTCAGCATTCAAAACATATCAGGAAAACACCAGGCATCTGTAAGACATTAAATTAAAAAAAAAAAACTATTTAAAACGTAGGAAATGGCAATATATTGCTCAACTCAGCTGACATACACTGCAGAAACTCCAACATTTATGTAATAGTCATTGCATCTGCACAACTCTTTTGAGGTGTGATGTGGCACAGTATTTCAGAGCAGCTAACTAACTAATTATGGCTGCAAGCCCATGCATACTTACCTTGAAGTAAATCCCACTGTTCAGACAGTCGGGGGGTGGGGCATGCACAAAAAGGAAAGTCAAATTGTATTCACTAGCCCTGTCCTCTACATATTCACTTGGTCATTTGCAGTGGAGCCTGTGCATAATTTGGAATTACATGGGTCGCACATATGGAGTATTATATACGTTTAGGTGTTCACGCATAGATAGGCCCTAGTGCCAATGAAACAGTGGGGAAAAAGACAGGACTGAGCAAGGGTGGAGGCAGCAACTGAGACACATGTAAACAAAGCATGTGTCACATTTAAAATCTTGAAACCAAAGTTGAGAAATACTTAAGTAGGAACAGAATTTACTACTAAAGGGCATTTCTTTTTCCCCAAAAAGTATACAGCAATATATCTGAAAGCTCTCATCTTTCAACTAAAGAATTTAGCTGAAATTGATATGCAAGCTGTGGTTGATGTTGCTTGTGTGGCCAAAAGGGCCCTATCCACATACACAATAAAGAACTACTCAAAGTTTGATAATCATCATCGTTGTCATCTTCATCCTCTCTAAGGTAAAAATCTATAGGTGGAACTTCCTAAAACCAATTCACTGATAACCAAGTGTGGACAGTGACCATGAAATGCTTACTTTTGGAAGGGAAAACAAAAAACCAGAGGCAGGTGGAATAGAGTGGAGTGGCTAGAATCCTGGACAGCAGCAATCCACCCTGCTGCAACGTTTTGTTGCAGGTCCCACTTGCATGCTAGCTAATGTAAATTTCATTTCCCCCAATATTCACATTTCACTAATGCAGAGAGTCTGATTATACAAGTAAACCTTTAGCTTGCTTTAAAAAGAAAAAGAAAAAACTATCCTGAACCTAATCTGTGACATTTTTTAAAAAAACAACTCACAAAACACTATTTAAATGAGCAATCATGTAATAGAAGTCAAAATCGAGAACATATGGAGAAGATAGATACATAACTGTATCTTACTTTTCCATATGTTTAACTGTCTCGTGAATACATCTGTCTGATGGTTTTGTCTCACAAGATTGGTCACACATCAGTCAGGCACAAATGAGAAGTTTCGTGGCTGGAATTTGTTTCCAGTCTTGGGAATCCTTCCAAATTTGGAAAGTGACAGGGAGGCCAATAGGAGTCTTTGCTGTATGACTCTGAATGCAAAGGAAGATATGTGAGGTTTATAACTGTGAGCTTAGCTGGACTAGCATTAGTTTTTGAGGGAAGCGGGGAAGTGGGCAAAACACTGCTGCCTTTGGGATTCTGATGCAAGATCAGTAGCTGAATGATTTTATTTACTTTTACTATGACCTGTTCACCTTTGTAAATAAAATAAGTAATACCTAGATAACCTAAGTCTACAGTGTTCTCTTTCATCCAGGCAAAACTAAACTCTGTAGCATTATCCTTGAACTTACTACTAGTCAGGGAACTGGTTAGCAATATTATCATACTTAGACTTTGGGTTTAATCCCCAACCCACAAGACACTACTTGTTAGAGGAAGCAGGGAGGTCATGTTCTAGTTCTTCCTCCTCTTTGCATCCCCTGCAATTCCCAAAAATCTGTTCCGGAAGTTTGGGGGCAGGGTGGGAAGTGATGAGCAGAGCTGCAGGTGGAAAGTTGCCAAAATTGACATAAACCTCTCCTTCATCCACCAAGAGCTTGAGCATCCTTTCCAATGAACAGAAAAAGCCCTTGCACTCAAAGGGCAAGTCTGGATCCATCCCTGCGTAACCATCTTTGCAAGCTTATGTTAAGTAAATCATAAGGGTTTGAAAATGTAAATTGAAAACAATCTGAAATACTTTAAAGGTGGGATACAATTCTTCTATATAATTAGAAGAATTTCACCACACTTTTCATCTTGCAAAAAATTACCATGAGCCTCAAAACTATACTTGAATTATTCATAGTGATGGTTGAACCCAGCTTGTATTATGACTAAATGGGTTCAACAGTTAATGTGTGTTCAACAAGACTGTGTCTTCATGGAAATTAGCTGGATTAGACTTTTTTAGAAAAATAAATCTATTATTAGTTGGCAGAAATCAGTATTTGGGAAACTTTGGGCTGCTCATGCTGCTCAAACACCTACATATATTGAGAACATAGAGACAGGGGAAATAGAATAAAAAACAATTTTCATATAAATAATGGTGTGCTGATATATTGGAGTGACCAAATCAATGCATTCTACTGCATTTGTAGTACACATCTTGAATAGCCAAGGGTTCCTTGAAGAGTCAGCGTATGTGAGCATGTTCTGCTTTGAATGATTGGCTCCCAAGAAACTGATGTATTTCTTGTTTATATTTATATGTATGATCTCTTGGGGTATAAAACTAGGACTTAATCTTACCTTAAACAATACATTGAAATACTATCATACATCGGCTGAGGCATAAGTGGATTGTTTAATATATGCAGTAAAATCGCAGGTCTAAATAATTCAGCTAATCTAGGAGCTGAAACTAGACCATAATGGCGACCCTATTGGCTGAGTAAATGTTTTGAAATACTGAACACATTTTTTATTGAATCTTTCAGAATAATTCACATTGTTCTAAACTCCTAAAAATTAATTAACCTGCTTACCATGGCAAAACATATACGACATATCAATTGAGTAGAGGTATTCTATTCATCCAGTTTCCTGTGGATGCAACTGAACAAAATGTGCCATGCTGTCTTTCCCACCACACAGATCAATCAATGAGTCTCGTGGCTCCTTAAAGACTAACATATTTATTATGGCATAAGTTGTTGTGGACCTAAGCCCACTTCATCAGATGCACGAGGTGGGCTTAAGTCCATGAAAGCTTATGCTGCAATAAGTTTGTTAGCCTTTTGCAGCAAAACATTCAACTAGCCTCGGGGCACCTTAAACGTTAACACAACCTCGGGAGACACTTAACATGGTTTATGCAGTGCTTAGTGTGCATCCTACACATGAGGGTGTGAACAAATGAGAGAATATACATGATTTGCATTTATGCATGTGCATTACCTTTCCAGTAGACTACATAACATACATACAGTTGTATTTACACAGTCCCTTCATAGGATGCCCTTAGAGCCTCCATTCACCAAATGACCATGCAAGAGGTATCATACTATATTGTTACACATCACCCCAATCTCCACGAGTGGTGTGAGATTCCAGGGGTTGCAGGCACACTTTATCCAGGGTTTGTGTTTCCTTTTGGACTATGGGGCACAGTGGAGACTGTGGTGTCTTTATGATACATGGTTTATTTACACATATATACAACCTGAGTTTAGAAGGAGGGAGTGCACAGCATTCACATTCCAGGAGGGTCTCTTGCTTCCCCCATAGGCACAGCAGGCTTGGGTCCAAGAACAGGGAAATCAGCCATGCTCTCTCTCTCTTGGTTAAAGCCTGTCCTTGTCAGTCCACATGGTGCTCTTTGCCCTCCTTCCTCTTCCTTGTTGCAGCTATCAGACTGAAAGGATTTCTCCCCAGCCTACATCAAGCAAACTGAAATCCTAAAACCTTTCTTTTCTCTGCCCGCTAACACAAAATTGAAGAAAGGTTTCCACCCCTCTTTGGCAGAGAGTAACTGCTTTGTTAATCACCCATTATCTTCCTTCTGTTTTACATGATGGCTCTACTGCCAAGTTATCTCCTGATCAGAAAAAAAAACTCATTTAGCCTGTCTTTTAGCACTGCTATATCAAACATCTGTGACCTTCTCTTGTTAAATTCTAACTAAATCTAGGGAGCATGGGTGCCTTGCACCCACAAACTCTGGCACCCAATACCTATAACATTTACACTGCCTTGAGAGATGAAGGGGATTAGAGCACTATTCACAGCAACCATTCCCACAGGAAAAGAATTTGCTTAAAAAGGAAGCCATCCACCACAACACCCTGCTCCTCATTCATCAATAAAACTTCAGGGAAAGTGAGGTAAAAGCACAGTAGACCAAATTTATCTCCTAGAGCCTATTTAGGGGTCTGAGTAGGTACTGCAAAATATACATTTTCAAAAGCATATATAAATGCAGGAGAAACACCATGCTTTACAGTTGTAGGAAAACGGAGAGAATGATGCCAAATTTATTTACTTATTTATTTATAAAACTTGCTTCTCAAATTCCCCTTGAGGTAACTGTACTATATGGAATATTCTTGATTGATTGATTTTTTTAAAAAAAATGAAATCAGCGGTAAGATATACACACACATATATCAATTTTAGTATTTACTGTATTTTTTAAATAAAAAAAAACACAATGAAAACACAGAAACCCTATGGTAATGCTGGATGAGCGTTGTCGTGCATTTCTCCAAACAAGGGTAAGTGACCCAGGAGAATCTCATTGATGAGATGACTGGCCATTTGCACAATCATTCCTTCCTCATTTCTCAGCCTACATATTCAATGCACTCCCTGATAATTCCTTGCAAAATACAGCAATATTATTCAACTTTCTGAATTTTAAGCTATAAATTGCTGGTGAAGAGCTGATACTATCTGTATTTAAATAATAAGATCAATCAGCTGAGTAGATTCTGACTAATTAGCTCCCCTTCTGGGCCATAATGATTACAATATACATGATTCCGCTTTGATTAGGTCAGTTTAAGAGTAGGACTTCCAGGAGATAATCACTATAATATGCAAGCCTCAATATGCTTTGATTAGGAATGCAACGTCAATGGAAATTATATAATTCAGGTGCAAGTTTGCCAATTCAGTAGTGGGAGAGTTCTGATACAAATACACTTAGTACTAAGCATTTATTTCTCTCCAGGAACATATCAGGCACTGTCCTGAATGCAGTGGTGCGCTTCCTAGCACAGAGAACTTACAGCCCACAGTTGACTGATAAGGAGAGAGAAAATGTTTTGTTTCTAGCATTTCAACTTACGGGGGAGCATAAGTTGAAGTATGCAAGCATGCAACCTTAAACAATTAAAGGCAAGTAAAGCAGCAACATAAAAATAGTCATTATGCAGGGATTGCTTCTGTATAAAACATATCACTTGTGAAGTCTGTGGATGAGTTACATAGGTTACCTTTCTTGAAATGTAGGTTGTTTCTCATTTGATCTGGCTATATAGGAGCTTCAAAAGCTCTTCCTATTATCATTTTCAAAGACACCCTTTGTTTTGTGTCATTTGCCATACACATACACAATCAGGTTGCAAGACACCCATTATATTAAGACGCTCCATGGTATGCCATTCAACAGACATTCTTATTTCTGGACATAGCACCACTGAATTGCACATAACCAGTGCTTTAAAGTAAAGTATGTGCCAGTACTCACCATGAAGTTGCCACACTTCTAACGTTTGCAGGAGGTGGGGAAATGTGCTGGTACTGCGTACCCTTGAATGTCCCCAGAAAACAATCACTGCACATAACATATGCTAGCAATATTCTTAGCAATATTCTAAGCTGCTATTCCACCAACCAGACAGGTTACCTAGAAGGTATGCACCAATCCCAGCCAAACTGATGTGGCCAGAAAAGAGCAATCATGTGAAAGTTTTCTCAAAAGTAAATCCCAATGTAATCAATGGAGCTTACTCCCAGGTAAGGGGGCTCAAGATTGCAACCTCCAGAAAGAAATCTGATGCGGATGGATGGATGACATGCTCCAGTACCAACTCAATTTACAGGACTCAGAATATTTCAAAAACTAATACATACCACAAGATAATAGGTATAACTGGAGGCTAAAGCGATGGGCAGTTACTGATGAGGGAGTGAAGGATCAATAGGAATCATTTAGGATGGAAAGGGGAAAGGGAGGATAAGAAGAAAGGGGAAAGAAGGAAAGGGGGGCATAATTCTGAGGAGATGGGGAAATGAGTATATGGAATTCGGAATCCACTAGCTGAATCGTATTGCGGCAATCCTGTGGCTGTGTCGTGCTAATAAAGGTGTAACTATACAGAAGTTATTGAGAACTTGGGGAAAGGCTAAGTAATGGAGAAGTGAGATGAACAGTGGGGAAGAAATAGGGCTGATGAGAAAGCGATTAACCATGGAAAGGTCATGCTGTTGAGAAACGTAGGACATTATCCAAGAACAGATGGCAATAAGTTATGGGGAAAGGAAGCTGGAGGGGGCAGAGAGAAATGAACTGGGTTTGCGGGTGGGAAATGGGGACGAGAAACAGGAGAAGTGACAAACACTAATGTGCAGAGACAGTGTTCCGCATCTCTCCACAAAGTAGCCTTTACCGAGCCGGACCATTGATCCATCTAGTGTTGCCTGCACTGACTGGCAAGCTCTCCATGCATGCAAAGCAGGTCACAGAATGGCAGAGCTGGAAAGGACCCCGAGGGTCATCCAGCCCAGCCCTCTGCAATGCAGGGATCCTGCCCGCAGCTGTCCCAGGGCGCGCTCGCTCTGCCACTGAGCTACCTCTCAGCACCGCTGGAGCTTAGTCTCAGATAAGAGGCTGCAATCCGGTGGCCACCTCCATTCATCCGGGAATGTTTTAAATTCACACGCGCGCTCGGGCAAAGTTGAGCGTCATAGAATCATCGCGTTGGAAGGGACCCCGAGGGTCATCCAGCCCAACCCCCTGCAATGCAGGAACACGCAGCTGCCCCACACCGGGATGGAACTGGCCACCTCGGCATTCTCAGCACCCGCCTCTAACCGAGGGAGCTATCCGGGCTGCAGTCAAGCCAGGCTGGGTCCCGCTACCTGTGAGCAAGAGGAGCCAAGCCGTGTGCTCACCTGCAGCCCTCAAAGACCGGGGCGGGAAGCCTCCCCTTAACACACTGACTCGGGAACAAGCCCCCCAAGGAACACGGGAGGACTTCCAAGTAACACGGGTAGAGCTCCTTCCCGACTGTGGGCTTCTTCCCGCCCGGACCGCTCGGCTGCTGCCGCCCTTGAAACCGAAGTTTGCCGGGCGCGGGAAGGCTGTTTACCTCAGCTCCCGTCCGCCGTGTCTCGCCTGGTCCGTTCATGGCAGCCGCCGCCGCCCCCAGGCTGCTCCGCCAGCTGCTTCCCGCTCATCCCGCGAAGCGGGCGGACTGAGGCGGCAGCTCCGGCTGCCTTGACCCCTAGGCTCGCCCACATTCCCGCCCCTTTCGGCGGGCGCGAGCGTCACGCTTGTTGTCGGCTCGCTCCCGCGCGCCCTGGACGAGCCCTCCAACTCTCCTGTGAGGCGGGGGAGAGTTCTCTCCGCTGTCTCTTTTCCAGTCAGGCAGGCGCTGCCAGAGGCCAAGCAACATACACCTGGCGGGAAGGAGCGGGCCAGGGAGACGAGAGAGACAGTTTTTCCACCGCACAAGTGACAATAAACAGACCCACTCCCCGCGCTTTCCAAAGATTTAACGAGACGGGCTTCGTTCTCCGCGGAACGGCGCAGATGTGCTTCCCTTGGAAGCGCTTTAACCCCAAATATCCTCAGAGCTAAGGAGCGGATTGTTCCCTCGGTCTGGCACTCGCTCTGAGGTTTCCATATAAAAATGCTTAGCCCCTGACATCTTCACGAGGCTGAGCTACGTCAAGCCACGGGGGATGAGACAGATCTCACTTGGGAGACATCTGGTGTCACCTTCATGGTGGGGGGAGTCCAAGAGAAGGGGGGACACTAAGGCTGAAAACCTCAAACACTTAGGTGGGCTTTTTCCAGCGGAAGTGGTTGAAAAGAGCAGCAGACGGAGCTGGCCCTACCAGTGGGCAGGGCGAGGCAACAGCCTCAGATGATAGATGGACAGGAACCATCTGTCTATTCTTTGTAAGCACCCCAGCCATTTCCCACTGTTGGAGGACAGGGCTGGGTTGTTTTGTTTTTTGATAAATAGCCTTCAACCCACCACCCAAAAACCCATTGCCTACTGCCCTCAGGTACCATAGAAGATGCTATCCCATCACCAGTGTTTAAGTACCATTCATCTGACAGCAAGTGCATTGGACAGGTTGGTTACTGCTAGTGTAAGCCCGCCTTCCACTTGACACCCACACTGATCTACCAGAAGATATTGCCTCATGTGCTTGGGATATTCATGGAAGCAGAGAGTTGGAAGGGACACTGAGGATCATCTAGTCCAACCCCTTGCAATGCAGAAATTTGCAGCTGTCCCATGCAAGGATGTAACTGATTTAATCCAGTACAGGGCACAAGATGTAGTGGCATAGCTTTTATGACAGTGGGCTATGGACAGTATGCTTTCCAAAATGCTTTCCAACAAAAACTTCTGTGTAAAAACAAACCAATGGCTCCTTCCAACTTCTGAGAAATTGAGAGCGGGAATATACACAAATGTATAATGGGAACTGAGTGGGTTTGCATCATCGAGCAAATACTGGTAAGGATAAAACTGATTTATGGTTCAAATTCCAAAGATACCTGACACATGTAGTAATGGCTCGGCAGAAGGACTTCTGTGCTTTTTAATCTAACATGTGCCCGGTTTGAGCTTTGACTTTAAGAAGTGCGTCGTAAGATAAGGTCCATCTCTTGAGTCACACTCTCTCTGCTCTAGAGTTGTCAACTATTCAGCTGGCCTCTGTAGCTATGTAGAAGCTTGGTATACAATTTTGGAAGATGTCTATCCCTGTGCTGTGCAAAGCTTCACCTGCTGATTCCAAACATCAAACTGTTATTTAAAAGCACAGAAGCAAATTAGATTCCCCCCCAATCAGTTGGCAACTCTACTTTGCTTGCAATGGTTAAGTGCTTCCTGTGGCAGCTCAGTAGTTAAATTGAATAAGTCTATCCTTTTCGGTGGAGGCTGGTCAATGGGCCACTGTCCCACCAACCACAATCTGTCCTCAGCTAGTTCCTGCCTACCTGCCTTGTTACAACTAACCCAGGAGTAAGTGCTGACTGTCAGCTTCTTCTGCCTTTGCCTTCTTTGTGCCCTCAAAGACCTCAAGAGGGGGGAAAAGGATAGGGACAAAACGAAAATTAGTTTACTCCACCCCTACCATTGCCTTCCCTGCCCCCTGCCCCATCAGTCCCGATTTGCACCAGCATGATTCTTCCACTACAAACTGAACCTGCAGTTTTGTAGGCTACCGCAAACTTCATTAATGTGATTAATTCTCACAACAAAGGATTAAGGCTTCCCTAGTGGCTATTCAGGAAGATTTGTTTAAACTCACAGTTTAATCCCTACTGAAACAGAATATCCATTCCTTAAGGAATTCACATTCATAGAATTGTAGCGGTGGAAGGATCATCTAGTCCAACCCCCTGCAATACAGGAATATATGCATGAAACAATTATATTCAGTGCAATGCATTAGAAGAAAGCCTAGCAAAGCCCATTCCAAATATCTATGTGCCCACCATATTTAAGACGCAGAATTTTTGGAATTCAACATTAACACATGAACTATTTTAATAAAAGAAAGAATTAAAACACAAGGTAACAGAAATAAATTATTGATCTTAATTAGCTCAAGGAAACCACACAAAAGCTAATGAAATAAGCTGTTATGTTTGTAGACATAGATTGTTCCTATAAGGACAGAAGAATGAAGATACATGGAATTTTGTTTCACCTGCAGTTCTGGAGTAGTTAAGGGAGTTGAGGGATTATTATTATTTTTAATCCAAGTGCTTGAATGCAAAGTAGGCATGTGAGAATCATTTAGAAATCATTAGATCATGTGTGTAGCTCATATAAATTGCCATTTAATTCAGTGGAATCATAGGTGTTTCCAGACAGGTGTTTATTATGAGATTGGTGAAGTTCATGCATGCCGATTTTTTAATAGCATCCATACAATATTGTCTGCATCAAAATGCCAGCTCATATTTTCCCCATTTATTCCAGATCCACCTTTTTGACAGGAAATAATATTAGTATATGTTGTTGTTGTTGTTGTTTAGTCGTTTAGTCGTGTCCGACTCTTCGTGACCCCATGGACTAGAGCACGCCAGGCACAGGTATATTAGTATATACCTACTGCTAATTATGATGTTTGCCTTTTTTAAATGACATCTTTGCAGTATTAAGCCCCCCTCTAGAAGCGCTCTAATTCATTTGCTGCCTTTCAAGCTTGTGTTCAACCTTGTAGACAAACTGTGGCTTTCTGGTCTGAAGAGTTATAAAACTAGGTGTGCTGCTTTGCTTTGTAAGGGTCATTCAACTTCTTTGTTTGTCCTTGACAAATACTACTTATCCTTTTAGAGATACACGAGAATGTACAGGTATTTCTTTAGCTACAATATAAACTGAATGTGACTTTTAGTGGCACATTTCTGGTCTGATCTGGTGGGCCATTTCCTCACACATACACAAGCTACTTTTATATGATTTATCACCTTTTCTGTATGATTCTCAACCCATTTGGGTCCACATCATTACATAATCCATTGCATCCTACCTTTTCCTTATGACTTGGCATTCACATTTTATTACCTCTAGCTCCCTTGATCTCAGTCTATTGGGGGGGAATGAGCAGGCCAGATGGAAGTGGTCCTGCGAGCTGCCAGATGAGCTAAACTTCATTTATTTAGATTTATAATCCACCTCACCAAAAGCTTGAGACAAATGAGAGACATTTCTCATTTATATTTTTCAGGCTGTGAGCTAAACAAAATGAATACCTTCTTACACTCACAAACATTTATGGCATAATAAATGTGTTAATCATTAAAGTGACATCTCTTCTAAGAAAGTGGACACACTATTGAAGATGAAATCTAAATCAACTGAGTTTTGAAAAGATTGGCTAAACACCTTCTCAAGGTTGGCTCAACCTTGAAGCTTCTACCCCCAGCTATCGTGTGATGGACAACGATATATGATCTCTCAACCCTGATGAACTTCTGGCTACATCTCAGTGCCAAGCCACCCTCCCTTGCCACTAGTGTCAGTTGCCTTACTGACCAGCCTTTGACCACCTGCTCCAGTACAACTATCACCCCTACCAGCAGAGTGTCTCCTCCGCTTTCTTCAATGGGAGTCTCCTCTGCCAGACCTCCTCATCCAACCCTCCACACCAATGGAGCAACTGGGAGCCAAGCCCAAGAGGGGCCATTACTCATGGTCTGACACCCACACCTACACTGACTGCAGCAAGACCTATACCAAGAACTCCCACCTGAAGGCACATCTGTGGATCCACACATAGTGAAAAAGAAGTCAAGGTTAAAAACCATGAAAGATCTTGCTGCCTGGGAATGTGCTGCCTGTTGCACTGAGGAAAGACGACGACCCTTCCCAGAGAGAGGATACCATCCAGCCCAGGGCTCAGTAGCTCTTTCCGATATTTTGAGTTACTATGACTTTATTGAAATGTATCAATTGTTTTTGTAAAATTGTTGTCATTGTTTACTTTATACGTTACTGTGTTTCATATTCTAGTGATTGCTATTACTGTTTTCAATGGTATTGTGATTATTGTGAGCTGCTTTGTGCTCACAATTGTTGGAAAAGCAGTATGCAAATATCAAATCAAATAATCAATTTCTTTGCTTTCCCTCCCATGCACAGGCACCTTATTCCATGCTGTAAAGATGCCTTCCTGCTATTTATTGATAGCAGCATGGCACAGAAATGTAATCCATATATTCTTCACACACACCATGCAAAATCAGATAGTATACTCGAGGCTGCTCCTAAATGAAGTTACATATCTGGGACTTGAGTTAACATAGGCTTTTTAGCTCAAATATTAGTTCATGTGAATAGTTCTGTCATTTACAGGTCCAGGGAGTGTGTGGAGCTGTGGTGTAAACCCATGAGCATCTTGGGCTTGCTGATCAGAAGGTCAGCAGTTCGAATCCATGCAACGGGGTGATCTCCTGTTGCTCTGTCCCAACTTCTGCCAACCAGGCAGTTTGAAAGCATACCACTGCAAGTTGATAAATAGGTACCGCTGCAGAGGGAAGGTAAACAGTGTTTCTTTGTGCTCTGGTTTCTGTCACGGTGTCCCATTGCACCAGAAGCGGTTTAGTCATGCTGGCCACATGACCCGGAAAGCTGTCTGTAGACAGATACTGGCTCCCTCAACTTGAAGTGAGATGAGCGCTGCACCCCATAGTCACCTTTGACTGGACTTAACCATCCAGATGTCCTTTACCTTTACCTTTGGCAGTGCTATTTTTCTAGAAAAAGAGGTGTCTGGAACTCACCATAAACACCTCCCTCATTCTCTTAGAATAGCAATGTTGCCCACCTGTGAGGTGCCAGACTGAGTTCCGGCAAGTTCCAGCTAAGAAAAGCCCTGCTCCTTGGGTTATATCATAAAATTCCTTACAATACACACAAAGCAAGCCTGTTTCCAGTCCAACTGACAATACTATGATGCATTCTTGGCTTAAACAAAGACATCTCTCTTTAAGGATGGGGTTGAGAAGAGGATGAATTAACAATTA